GTATTCTTTTATTTCTTCCATTTTCCATTTCTCTCTATTATTTTCTTATCCTTTGCAACTCTACCAAAGGGACCCGGTTTTTTGCAGGGAACACTGGCCACGTTCCCCGCAAGGACCCTCTTCCCGGTTCATAGATGCCGTCTTCCTGTGGGGTCTTCACGTGACTGCTCTGTGAGTGGGCCTGAAGGGAGCAAGCTCTGGTCTCTCTGTCTCTTCTTCTTCCTTTTTTTTTTATTTACTTTTTTTTTAATGTTTGAGATGGAGTCTCACATATCGTCCAGGCTGGTCTCGAACTCCTGGGCTCAAGCATTCCTCCCATCTCAGCCTCCTGAGTAACTGGCTCTATCTCTTCCTCCCCTTGGAAGGGCATAATCCCACACGTGGACTCACTCTCACGGCCTCTTCTGACCCTGAGCGCCTCCCAACGTCACCAGACTGGGGTTTAGGGCTTCAACATGTGACTCGTAGGGAGACAGGAACGCTGAGTCCAGGTGGGCGCCTCTGCCCCGCCAGCCTGGAAGCCCTGCAGCCCAGCACCTTCAGAGCGGCACCCCGGGTCCAGAACCCCGCTTGGGCCTGAGTTTCCCCACTTCGTAGGGGTGCTGTGACCTGACCTGGGAGAAGGCTGGCTGATCCTACTGCTAGATCGCTGTCACCTTCGGCTTGGGGTGAACCTTGCATATGAGCTGCCTATTATGGGTTGATTTGTGTCCCCACCCAAACTTGTAGGTTAGGGTCCTAACCTCTAGCACCTCAGATGTGCCCTTGTTTGGAGACAGGGTCCGTGCAGCTGTAATCAAGTTAAAATGAGGTCATTAGGAAGGGCCCTAATGCCATATGACTGGCAGTTACAAAAAGGGGAAGAAAACGTGGAGAGGGAAAAAATGACCATCCACAAGTGAAGGACGAGGCCCGGCGCGGTCTCACTCGCAGCCCTCACAGGAGCCAGACTTCTGGCCCCAGAGTGGTCAGAGACACATTCTGTTGCTTAAGCCACCAGTCTGTGGCCCTTTCTCACGTCAGCCCTGGCAAACCGGACACTGCCTGTCTGAGCGCTGTGAGGACGGCACGCCCGGCTGGGCCTGCTTGCTGATCCCCCGCGTGCATGCCAGAATTCTTGTTGCACCTGAGGGTACCACCTGGCAGGGAGCAAGGCCGCCCCCAGTGGTCCAAGGCTACTGACATTGACCTCAAAGAACCTGACAAAACCGTGACAGGACAGATCGGTGCAGTGCAGCTTGCATAGCACGTGTCCCAGATTTTCTGAGGCTTCTCCGGTTCCAAATGCCCTGTCCCACGAGCAGACTGTGAATACTGATTTAAGGTCCAGAAAATGTAGTCATCCCTCCAGGTTTCTCCTGGTCCAGCACCTGTCTCTGACCTTGGCAACAAGGGACAAGGGGCCCCAGTGACTCACCACTGTGTACCCACAAAATTCCTACGTTGAAGCACTACGAACCCCCACTGCGATGGTATTTGGAGATGGGGCTTTGGGAGGTGATTGACGACAAATGCGGTCATAAGGGTGGGCCCTGATGGGATAGGATTCGTGGCTTCGTAGGAAGAGACACCAGAGAGCTCTCTCTCTTTCCGTGCACCAAGGGCAGGCCA